AAACTGAACATTACTACCACGATGAAGAGAGGATTTACTGTACGACTGTTGTCTTACACTGCATTAGGTTTTAGCTGAGTGTACCTAATAAACTGTGTGAGTGCAGTCTTTTCATCCTCGTCTGGGGATTGAATGGGTGACCTCAGAAGTCCTGACCCTGCTTCTCATCCGATCGTTTTGACCCGATTATTCAGCGGTTACGTAAGGCGGCTGGCTGTACGAGCTACTACAGCTGGTAACCTGCCTTCATTGCTAGGTCAAGAGTTGTTTCTAAAAGCTATTCAAGCCTGGAAAATAGATCACTCTGTGGTTTGCCAGCTGCCGTGTCTGTGAGACAAAAACTTATTTACATGATTTTGATGAAGTGCAGTTGAATGACACTGTGGAGCAATGGGTTTTACATCTTCCTGCTGCTATCATTTTATTCCCTGCTGCATTCAAATTCAATTCAGTGTGTCACAATGTTTGCACAGACTACCACTCATCCAGGAAAGCTGTGCTTTAGGGTTTAGGAAAATTGCTCTTTTATTTTTGAGTTTATTGTGACATGAGGACAAAATCCACTCACCTCGCTGCAGAAAGACTTTGGCATGAGGCAGGGCGGGTCACAGGAGCTGTTGTCCTCTGGAGGGTTCATTGGAGGACAACCTCCTGTGAAAGAGACAACAGCATCAGATTGAGTACATTTTAATACGATCACACGAGCACAATCGGTTCGTCTCCACGTTTAAAACGTACCACTTGGGGTTATTTCACAGCATGTACTTTCATCTGCAATAATAACTCAGTAAATCCAATGTTTCCAGGTTTATTTTAAAAACAATTTTATGTGTTGATGTGTTAAACGGAGATGAAAAGCTGTACCGGCTTGCCATCGCCCACCACCTTAGATCAATATAGAAATAAGCGCCTATTTTCTTCAGTTATATTTCTGACATTTTGTGTAAATTTTACCTCCTACATAAAATTGCCACCAATGGTTTAGGCTTACAGTTGAGCTTAAGAGCGGCTGCAACCTCCAGTTTCTCACTTTAAAGAAAAATTCAGCTGCTCTATTTATTATGCACACTACTGTAGGACAGTGTTTTCTGATCTCTTCTAGCTCGAGACCCCTTTAAAGATGACTAAAGCGTACTTGCAAGTCCTTGACAACAGTTTGATTTCTTAAGCTCAAACATAATGTAATTTTAATGGGGTTTTTTTTTCATTTTATTTATAGATGTGAAGTTGAAACAATTCTAATCAGTTGTGTCATTTAATAAGAACACATCCAGCAAGTTATAATCAAAAAATGTAAATATAACAACACGGGCATTGAGAAGTTGCAGTTAGTTTTTTTTTTTTGTTTTTTTTTTAAGGTTTTATGGGATAAAAAAAAACACTTGATAATAAAATCATCAGAACAAATAATTATAAATGTGATCATTAGTTGCAGAGACTCCAAAAACTAAAGTCAAATGGTGAAAAAATATGACAAAAAAAGAAGCAATTGAACCTTCAGCAACTCTGCTGCAGACCTCCAGACTCAAAGTGGAGCAATTATGCTTTCCCCCCCATCCATCCATATTTTTATTTTATACTAGAACATTTTTTTTACATGACTGTCTGTATAATGGTCATAATAATGCTTATTTCTCCCATACTGCTTCAAAGAGCTTCAAAGCCATCTACTTGTCACTGCTACGCTGATGATACACAGATGTGCTTCTCTGTTGAGACTAACAACCTCAGCAGCCTCGTCTACCTCAGTGAACAATTTGATGCTCGTACTTATTCAAAACATACTAATATTTACTAATGTTTCAAAATTCCTCCACCTCAGTCCTAGCATAACTGAGCTTGTTGAATGAGGTCAATCATGTGATCGGTCTGCTCATCAGAAATGTCAAATCTTCTGCTAAAACAAAACAAACCTTTGTATTATTTTGGCCATTTGAATTTTGCATTTGCTCTTTTTTTTTTCTTTGATCTTAAGCAAAAATCAAACCTTTAATGTTCTCATTTAATCCAAAGGTGAGCACACTTTTGAGGTTGCAACTCCTAAAAAGTCCTCCAAAGCCCACCAGGTCAGCTAATCTGTGCGGTTTGTTATTTTCTTTTTACTTTTTTAAGTTATTTCTAAAACAAGCTGTTTTCGCTCCTCTCCCTCAGTCAGCTTTCTTCTGATTGTCTGCCCTCTTTAAAAAATGGGATTCAAACAGCGGGTGGGGGTCATTGCTGCTGTGCTCACAGACAGCAGAAACAACTGTGTGAAACAAATGTTTGGAGCAGCTTTTTTGGAGTTCCTTACCAGTGACATTGAGTCCATCTGAACGTTGACACCAGATCAAAGGCCGAGTGGAATTTGGGCCAATGCTGCTGAACCATTTGTACTCGAAACATTCACCTCCTGAAAGCAAAACACAAAAACAGTCAACAACTGTGAAGGCTGTACTGAGTCAGGCAGTGGTGACCATTAATCATATGAGAGACACCAGATTAATAAAGCAGCTGCTAAGTTGTGGTTGTATAATAGGCTGCTGACACATAATATGACCGTGTCGTCTCAAAAGGGTCCAGTTCAATGTTTTAATCTTCAGTAAGAGCTTTTGCTTAATGACTTTTTATCAGTGCTATTATGACTTTATCAATATCTCCATCAGTGCAGTAAATGACTGTATTTCCCTGCGGAGTTCTGTGTAACCAATCATCAGTCCAGCCAATTCAGCCAGAGTAAATGAACAATTTAACCTTGAACAAAAGACAGAGCTATTCTCCACAGACGTGGGTACAGTATCGCTGCTCCCGTCAGTGGTACGCCTCTATCTGCCGCCGTACGGGATGAATCCTCTGCGGCTGAGAGGACTTCACCTTTTATGTACTTTACTCTTCTCATTTCTCTCTTTCTTCCTTGCTCCGCTAGAGCTGAAGTCGTTTTTCAAACGTGTTAAGTTATCATTGAATCACTCACTTAGGCTGGCACTTCCCACCATCTTTTATGAGCAGACTGGAGTTGTACTACCACAGAAACATTTCTCAGGAGAAGCGCAGAAGTTTTTTTTCTCCTTTTTTTCTGGAGGCAGAAATAATGTCAGTAGTAGTCCCAGATATGAGAATATCTGTAAGAACTGAGAAAGGCGATGGATGATTTTCAGCCATATTAACTGAAAAGAAGAGTAATTATATTCAAGCTTTTTAAACTGACTGCATTTTCAATCACTTTCATATCAAACTGTGCCAATTGCACACATTCACTCTACAGTGGCTGCTAAGCTGCTAAGCGAGGTGCTGTCTGTACCTGGCAAAATCACGGCACCATGGTCACTAATAAGAGGGGAAGTTAATGTCATTCAAGTTTGCTGGGGCGTGCTTTCGGCTGCTCCCTTAATTCCCAGCAGGTCACTAAAGCAGATAGATCCACGTATTTGATTTGGCACAGATTTACACCCTCCCACTTATTCAGGGTTGGGGACATCACTTGGAGTACCTTCTTGTGACATCCTGAAACTGGGTTTGTAGTCTCCTCCCACTCTTGAATCAGGCTCTTTGGTGTGCAGTGCAAATGTCTTAACCACAAAACCATCTTTCAGGCTTGCTGGTTGTGGGCCGTATAAAATCTAGTAACACTTTTAAACCACCATTCATTTTTAATAAATGGATTTTCGTGTTCATAGAACCTTTTTTTACTTCTAATAATGAAATGATAGGCTCCTGCACACCTCTGCTACCCTGAATTGGACAAGCAGAACAAAAAAAAATGGATGAATATTTTACACTAATTATTGCTAATGGTAGAATTTGTTACTTTGTTTTATCTTTAGTGATATAATTATAGCTTTGCAAATAACACATTTTATAATGAGATAACATTTAGGTGTGCAGGATTAACTTTGGCACATGTGAGGATATTTGAACCCAAATGTTCCCTTAATGGACCTGAGCAGTTTTTGATGTACAAACTGAACCAATCAGCTGGTGGTGATAGAGCACTATAGCACTGAAATAAAGTCTAACGTGTCTTAAACCCATTATGTACTCCATTTACTTACTGAGATTTTAAACTTGTCCAAAGTTAAATTTGTAATGAGGACTTTGTGGGATTTAACAAACATAAAAAATGTTTATGTTTGGATGCTTAAGCAGAAAAATGTTGCAAATATGGATGTTTCTGCAAATAAGCTGCAATGGCCACAAAATCCCTTATATATGTGTTCAATCAGGCAGCACAAAACAAATCTATATCACCACAGTGTGCACAGTGAGCACCCAACATTATTGTTGCCTATTTATCCATCCATAACCACTTATCCAGCTAGGATCACAGTGAGCCTGAGTCCATCCCTGCGACTTTGAAAGAAGGTTGCACTCTGGACAGGTCGCTGGTCCATCATGGATACGGATACTTTCTATCTCTGGTGCACTAAGAATACCAGAGATATAAAGCCAGGCATTGGCATTGCAGCCAATTTAGAATCACCTATTAAACTAACATGCCCAAAATGAACGAACGATCTCTTTATTGCAAAATTTTACCAGCTTAATGAGATGATGAATTCTTGAGCTACAGCCAAAAGTGAATTTTGCGAGATGAGAATGACCTTTGATGAGTGATCAATAAATCTACTGAAGAAAATCCTTCTAATAGTTTTGAACATAATGAACGTGTCGATGAGTCTCACATGTTTCTGGTTTCCTGGAGAATAAATGTAACTCCAACTCTGATTTTTACCTTGTTATAAATTCAGATTCAAGTTGCAAATTTCAAATTTAAATGCCTACAAATGGAGGGACTCGTGTTTCATTAAGGTTTTGCTTTTACGTCTCTGGAGCTGCTGAAAAGCAGTGAGCAGCTTTGTTGTTTTTGTTCTTCAAATTATTGTGATTATTGCATTGAAGTAAAAGTGCTGGCCATTCTGTCAATCTGCGTATACTGGAGACACAAAGCACAGTAAGAATCACTATACTGTAAAACAGAACGACTTTAACAGCAGAACAACAGTGTTGTTTTTGTTTTTCTCAAGCCTGGAGCCTCACATCAAACCTTCCCGTCCCTCCATCCCCAGCCTCTCTTTCTCCATCACCGCCTTTTCCTTCCCTGCCTCCACTCTCTCATCCTCCTCCACCTCCACTAGTCTTGGCTGGGCCACTCCTCCCCCCATGCCTTGAGTGAAGCTGTGAAACCAGGTCATGCTAGCGAAGACTGCTGTGGGCTGTGTACAGTAACGAGGGAGGTAAGGGGGAATTACAGTACACTGTGTGTTGAGTTTTGTCGTAGTGATTCACAATGCTGCATCTAATGGGTGATTAATGCAGCAGAGGGAATCGCAGAGATCACTACTGTAAACGAGCATCTGGGTTTCAAACGTTTGAAAATCTGACTCGAGAAATCCCATCTGGGAGAGCACCAATTGACCCGGCATAACGGGAAAGACAAACAGTAGCAGTTAGTATCTTTTTCTTCTCGATTGTGTATCGGGCATGATAGGGAAGCAGCCCACTGGTTAGCACTGATGCCTCCCAGGGAGGAAAATCTATGCGACTCCTGTGTCAGATCTGTCTTTCCCACAATGTCAGCATGTTGTTGTTCAGTAGGTTTCTTTCCTCTGACAGTCCAAATGCAGAGAGATAGAAGCCTAAACAGCCTGCGGGTATGACTCTGAAAGTAAGTGTCTTTTTGCGTTAACCCTCTGATGCACTGACGTGCTCTCCACTGCCTTCAACCTTTCACACCCCGAGACTGACTTCAGTTTACCCTCGCCGTAAATATTACGAATATGCGGATAAATAGAAGGAATAAATGCATCAAAGTTTGGAGCTGCTGGGCTGCAGCAAGCTAATTTGTATTCATAGAAAGTTCACTGTTCAAATAGACTTTGCTTCTGTTAATTTGTCAAACTTTCTGGCCAGGAGAGGTTGAAGCCGTCATGTTTTTCAAAGTGTTCTCCACCTGTGCAGGGCTGAGACTCCCACTCCTGGTCAGGACAGAGCAGCAGGTTTTCAGGCTCCTGGGCGAGCACGGCTCGTGAGCGGACCTGAACCGAGGCAAAGTCGACGCCGGCCTCTTTGGCGCAGATGTTGACGCACGAGCTCCAGTCTGACCACTCCATCAGGTAGCATTCACCTGCAGCAAAGAACAGACAACATGTGTCGCTTTCCTGTGACTGCTTCACTTTAAAAGGAATTCTATGGGCAGAAATCTGTGCCATCAGAAACTGAAATTGAATAAGTTAAATTTGAATTTGAATTGCTCAGATTGAATCTGAATTGTAACTTGAATAAATGCTTTTGAAAACTGAATTTGAATTAGTCTAATTTGAAATTGAATTTATGGTTTGAAAACGATCATCACTAAATTGAAATTGAATTTTATATTTTGAAAATGAATTGATTTGCTTTGAAACTGCATTTTATCCTTTAAAAATTCAGCTCTCGAATAATTTCAGTTTCACTTTCACCTTCATTCACTTCAAACAGAGGTGATCCAGTAATGCTGCACTAATGAATTAGACTAACTATTCACTTTAGCTAAAGTTATTAAGTTAGCTAAAGAGTTGGGATGCTGTGTAAGACATAAATAAAGCTAAAATACAAAGGTTTGGACACCGTTTTGCATGTTTCCCTACTGTAGGGGTCTCTGCAAGCATACAGAGGGGGTACTCTGAGAGGGTCCAAGATGACAACTTTGGAATTCTACTAGAAACAGTCGATCATATTTGTTTGTCAAAGCTGAATTCAGGGCAAACTACGCTAAATTAGCGTTTTTAGCTAGCAGCTACAATAAGCATAAAAGTTACCGTACGGCTATCATTTGTTAACATGACGCTTGTTCTTATACATGTAATACATTTATTACCAACCTGAGAGTTTATCCGCTGGTCATTCGACATGACGAATGACTTCTGAAGTCTTAATTCAGCTCAAGACGCTGTAGATTCCCGTCAGTAACACTTTCGGTCCGCTAGTAAAACGTAGTTCTATTAATCTGCGCTTGAACCGGAACCGGATGTAAGTTCCAAAAAACTGAATTTTGGAACTGAAACTGAATGGTGAGAAGTGAAACTGAAATTATTCGAGAGCTGAATTTTTAAAGGATAAAATGCAGTTTCAAAGCAAATCAATTCATTTTCAAAATATAAAATTCAATTTCAATTTAGTGATGATCATTTTCAAACCATAAATTCAATTTCAAATTAGACTAATTCAAATTCAGTTTTCAAAAGCATTTATTCAAGTTACAATTCAGATTCAATCTGAGCAATTCAAATTCAAATTGAACTTATTCAAATTCAGTTTCTGATGGCACAGATTTCTGCCCATAGAATTCACCTTAGACTCCATTTAATTAACAGATTATTAAAACAAGCAATGATTCATCAAAAATAAAAATAATTCCCACTTCCCTTAAAAAACAATTAACTTGTACTGCTTATGTTTTTATTCTCTGATGTACATTTCTGGCACATTTTAGAGTTAGAAAACTACCTAAACACACAGAGTAATATCATCATTACATCATTCTTCATCTGTGAAAATAAATTCAGATTAACAGATAAAAATCTGAATTACAAGGTTACATTTATTTACTGCTGACCAGTCAAGTGGTAATTTGCATCCATGGCATTTTATGACTCCGGAGAACGACCTGGGGCTACCTTTACCATCTCAGTGTCTAACCAAATGTAAATGATGTCACAGTCTATGACATCATTCGTTTTTGGCAAGAAAGTAGATTTTTTGTGCTTTTATGATAAATTGAACTTTTCGCGACCACAAGAGGCGCCCCCTGCTGGCCATTAAAGGTAATGCTGGTTTAAGGGCCTCACTGGATGCACTTCTTTGATCTGGAAACCATCCCCATCCTTTATGCACAGTCCAAAAAATTAAACCAGTGCAGAGAAACTTCTTCCATCTGGCAGCTCATCTCTGTTATGTGGATTTTTTAAAAGTAACTGCCAAATGACCTGTGCAGTATTGCAAGTTATGACCTTGAGCCAAATCTCGAATTGTTTTTTTTTCCTGTAAGGCCACGTGCAGGATCACATCCTCAGGCAGATGGCCCTTTTGGTATATTTTGAGTGAAGAGACTAAAAGGTTACTGTGTTTTTGCTATCTGGGCCCTCGACCTGCCTCAGGCTGAGGCGGACAGGATCAGTAATATCTCAAACTTCAGCTCCAGACTTCATTCCTCACTCCAGTGTTTTGTCTTTCATTAAATGTTTACTATTACTTTAGTTTTATTTTCACTCTCTTATTGAACCTCAACTCATTTTGACTGTAAAAGCTATAGAAAAATATCTGCATTGCAGCTTAAGTGTGGGTGTCTGCAGCAGAAATCTGATCTTTCTCTTTGGCAGCACAGAAGTGACGCTTTACCTGTTTATCTCTGGATGATCTGGGTGAGATGTGTGCTGCAGAGATGCATATAGAATATGTATGTATATTTAAATATATCATAGTCAAGATGCTTTGAAGAGTTTAGTGAGAAGGAAGGCGCGAGTTTGAGATGCAGGGTGGCTTGGTTTTGATCATAGTTGACAACTGCAGCTTATCAAACAGTGGGGGGAAACAGAACGTGGGTCAAAGGTTGCAGTGCATGAAAGTGTGTGTATTTGTGACTGTGGAGATGCAACCTGCTTAGATTCCCATGCCAGTCTGGGTCTTGCACAAGCAACTCCTTGAATTTCCTCCCAAATCACACTACAGTACCTCCCTGAACAGAAAACAGGCTGTGCTTTTGATTGCTGTTTGATACTTCAGTGCTCCTGCAGTTTGGCAAAAGAGGCTGGACTGACTTGTTATCTAGGGCACCGTTTCTCAGTGTTTTCCATCTCAGGGACCAGCAGCCATCTGATGAGCGCTTTTTTCCCCTTCCCAAACGGAAAAAAAATCCCACTAGCGAGAAACACACACCACACTTAGACTATAAAATTAATTCAAACTGAGATACTTTAAAATTAGTCGTGGGTTGAAACAAGGGCTGCATGTTTCTTCCACTGTATTGTAGAGATATTGAATGATGAATGATCAACGACGAGCCAAAATAGACACACAGCACTTTGGAAATGAACTCCACATTTGTATTTTGTCTCTTGGCAGACATGAGGAACAATAATCCCCCCTTCAGGGACTGCTGACACTGAAAATAACAGATTTATGTTTAAGCTGCACCATGTGAGAATACACTCCTGTTATCTGGCTCAATCTTAAATTGGGGCTTCGGTTTCTCATCTCTTCTTATTGAAATGTTGTAGATTTGCCCTATTTAACCAAAAGAAATGCTCCTGTTCACTTCTGTGTGCAGCACAATATGAAGACTGCCGCTTCACAAAATGAAGAGCACTGCTGTGGACATGGGAGGGACAGTAAACTGTTGAACCTGCAGACCTGATGGACAGATGGAGTCCAGCAGCTGCTGGGCAGAGCACACCTGTCTGCTATGCTCCACATTGCAAAGCTACATCAAACCCAGCATCTGACAAGCCTCCATCACCAAACCTGAAAACAACTCATCAGATGCAAGCTTTTGAAGTGATAATCCCATCTGTGAGATTTTTTTTGCTACAGTGAGGGGTGACATCTTTGGCCCTAAGCTGACATTCTGCTGTTTTTGCGCTGCGGTGCCGAGACATCAGCTGTCAGTCAAAGAGTGGTCAACAGGCTCCTGTGAAGGCTTTTCTCCTCAGAGGTCAAAATATCCAGCAACACGCGCTTTATATAGAACGGTTTTATTGATCAAAAAATACGTTTCAGCTCGTAACCTTCACAAAAATATTACAGAAAACTATTTAAAAGGTAGAAAAACTATAAGAAACCCGCCCCCTTTTTAAAATTTTATTGGTATACAGAATTTTTTTTTTAACTGTAATGACAGACATAACTGCTTGAAGATGTAGAGACAGATTTGGTTACATCTCAATCCTCATGCTCAAATTAGAAACAATAACCATGTGACTAGAAAGGATTAGCATTTCATCTGAGTTGGTGTTTTTTTTCCTTTTGTGCCTCCTCATCTCCTCCGTCCTCCTGCCCTGACCTGGAAATCTATCTCAGTCTCAGTGAGAAGACTGAGGAGACAGGGGGGCTTGTCGGAGGAGCTATAACCAGGTGTTTTTTTTCTTTTCTTTTGTTGCTGTGCTTTCACCTGTGACGCATGAAACAGAAGTGCCACAAAACTGAAATGTGCAAATCATGTCAAAGGGGGGGGGAGTTCCTCGTTTATTTAAGACGTTGAGCGATGTGATCAAACTTTCTAACCTTCAGTTCTTTGTGTAAATGTAATAAATAGTAGCACTAAATTTAAGTTTTCGTGACATTGCTATGGTGTGGCTGCTGACATTGTAAATTACAGCAGAAGCACAAAAGGCAGCCGAAGCAGCCGGCTCACACATTACATTTACTTGCCGTTGCTTTAAAATGCAAAGCGAGAAGTGGAGGACGTACAGATAGGTATACTCGAAATATTACACTTTTATTTATGGTGCAATAAATAAGCACAGCTTGTGCCCTGCAGTGTGTGAGCTGTTGATTTCCCCCCCTATTGTTTTCAACCCAGCACCTTCGCTTTGTTGTTGTGGTTTTGTCTGCATTTTTCTAGTTTCTGTAGTAGAAAAAAATACCTCTTCAGACTTTTATTTAGTTCCTGCACCTTGGAAGTAAGTGAAGTTTTGCCAGAAACTATTTGTCTGTTGTCTTATACTTTGTTTTGATGACTCCTTTTGTAGACAAATGGTTACTGCTGCTTATGTTAAATACCCACTTCTATTTACTTCCAGGAAAAGTGCTTCTAGTGCAGCAGGAAAGGACTGGTGAGGCCTGGGATACCCAATCTTGGCTTTTAAAACAACACTCTGCAGAAGTGTTTATGAGCTGTATACACCCTAAAGCTGTGTTCTCAGATTGCTCGCAAGGCTATTAGGCGGCCCACGTGTTTAGAATTTATCAGTTTATTTCCATACTGCAAAAATTAGATCACATATTTGGGACAAAGTTTTGTTTCCTAACATAGCAAAATGTGTACGAGACTGGATTTATTGCTGATTAATAATGTAACCATCAACACCAACACACCTAAATGTTAATAAAGGTTGACCTCTATTAAGAGACATGGGCAACTTTTCCCTTTTATGGATAGTTTATTGTGACAAGTGTGTCACAACAGCAAAGCTCCTAGTTTATGGGTATTTAAGCCCAATGATAAAATACTTTAAACATGCAGAGTGGTGGATAAGTTATAAAGGAGAGGGAAGGGAAAGCAAGCTACTCAACTTCAAAATACCCAGTGTGTCTTTTTTTGTGCTCTATAAGAACAACTTTGGCACTGGACCTAATTTAAATCAAATGTAAACAAAGGGATTTTAAATTAACCGGTAGTGTACACATACAGTAAGAATAAACAAAATTCTCCCTCAGTTTTTGATTGCTGCTAAGCTCTACGACTTCTGCAGATATTTCATTTTAAAAGCCATCCAAGAGAGGAAATGGCAGACCGTGCCCTTTCAACAGCTGGGAAACATTTATGAGAACATCTGTCCAAAAAGTACTAAAGTTCATTGACAGTCACAGTGAACAAAAAAGGGCAAAATGCATCAGGCTATAAATACTTAATCAGTGTTTTATGATATAAATAAAAGTGTCAGCGTGATAGGGCATGGCTCTATTGTTACAAGGAAACCTTTAAAAGCTGAGCTCTACATTAGCAGCAACAATCATCAACTATTTATTAAAATGATCAAATCAACAGGAAAATATACTAAATATACATTCACTGGCCACTTTGTTAGGTACACGTGTTCAGCTGCTCATTAACACAAATGTTTAATCTACTAGTCACATGGCAGAAGCTCAGTGCATTTGGGCTTGTAGATGTGGCTAAGACAACCTGCTGAAGTTAAAACTGAACATCAATTTGAAGTGACTTTGAATGTGGTATGGTGTATCTGAGAAACTGTTGATCTGCTGGGGTATTGCTGCACAACCACTGGAAAATGGTCTGAAAAGGTCAAGGTAGGTCAAGGTAACTTTATTTATACCCATAGGCAAGGTAGATTTGCTTTACAGAAAAAATGACAGCATTTGACATCCCTTTAAAAACACACATACCTAGTAAAGATATAAACCTCACTGTGGCACATATATAGTAATTTTAATATTTCGAATCAAAAACAGTTCTTATTTAATTCAGTGACAGCAACGGGGACAAATCTATTTTTATAACGCTTTGTCCTGCATCTCGGAAATAAAAACCTCCGTCCTGAGGGAAGAAGCTGAAATTCACCCCTTAGAGGATGGGAGCCATTTTTAAGGATTGATAAAGCCATCCTCTGTACCTGCTTAGAGTACAGGGAGGCTAAACAAGACTGTGGCTCACCTATCAGACGACTGGACCATCTCACTATCTGATTTAGAGAGTTTTTCTCTGTGACAGAGGTCTGACCAAACCATGCCACGAAACAAAAGGATAAAATAGACTCAATAAAAAAAAGAAACTAACTAGCGAGCTTCAGTTCTCTGGGTGTGAATGGCTTGTTCACATCAGGGGTAAAGACCAGACTAAACACACAGAAGGGCAACAGTAACTCAAACACTTGTCAAAACCAAGGTATGAAGAAGAACATCTCTGAACAAACAACACGCCGAAGCTTGAAGCAGGTCAGCTACAGCAGCAGAGAGTTGTTGTTAACCATGTTCATCCCTTTATGAAGGATTATGTGTAGTGTTACAAAGGGCACTGTACTCTGCAGCAACTGTGTGATGCTTGCTGAATATATGTCATAAAGAATTAAGGCAGCTCTAAAGGCAAAAAGGAGCAGAACCCAGGTCTCACAAGGTGTACCCAATGAAGTGGCCGGTAAGTGTATATTCCCAGTTCCTTCTTCAGCTAAAGGAAATAAAGCATTATAACTATGAAAAACCATTGTTTTGTCACTTTAATTAGGCAAACACTGCAGAAAAATCAATTTTAATGACTATGCTATGGATTGTGACTTTAAAGCTGGGTGGGCTGTCTTTTTTTTTTTTTTTTTTTTAAAAGGTGGCTAAATCACACCCCGACTGCTGGACTCTGTGCACTAACCAGACAGGAATAAAACATTCAAGGTCCTATGGTAATTATACAAAACCTTGCATCTGTGTATAGTTTAACATTTCACAGGTTTTGCTTTGTATGGCCATATATCACATAAATCACAACAGATGTCCAGCACAGCATAAAGACTGTGCAGAGACCTAATCAGTCACCGAAATTAAACAAGTCATCCTGTGCGGGTCGACTGTGGGCTGACACTGCCAGATTTGTGGGGTTGTTACTCGCTGGGGCTATCCATGCTGAAAATGCATGTGCACATGGCACACTAACGAGCGTAGTGTGTAAGCATCCTCCAAAGCTTCAGAGCCTCGGTCTTATTTTTGGTACACTTGGTCTCGCTCTGCTTGATAACTATTATGTTAGGTATGGCTGTCGCAATATCACATTTTCATTACATAATTATCATGGCCAAAAACATTTAACAATGACTATAAATACTGCTAAATCCTTGTCACAGTATCAGTCCAAATAAAGGCTTAACTCTCTTCCTATGCGGTGGTTACAACTTGCATATGAAGTGATAGTAAACACCAATACAACAGAGTGAACATACTTTAATTCACTATTACCAATAAAACCAGCATGGACAAATGCCACTGAATGATTGCACACCTAAGCACAAACTGCAGTGACTTAAACAGACCATCCACCAACTGAGTCAAAGCGCACATAATAGTGCATTTTAACCAAAGACTGTATAGAAAAGATGGAACCACTGGTTTTTCTGCCCAAATGTTAACAATTTTGGCCTCTGCATTGTTGGTGTTTTGGAGTCAAAAGTAACCATATTTGGATGAGGTGATGTTTTAAGTTATCAGCTGACAAGGAAGCAAGCTTGGTGACCTGCATCCAAAAAAATGTGTGTGTGTGTATCAGAATCAGAATCAGAATACTTTATTAATCCCGAGACAGAGACAGCAATGCCTGCTCATTAGCACTACGTAACAACCTTAAAAGTACAACTTCCCTTCTTTGACGGGATGTACACAATTCTTTTGCCAGGCTCTAAATATACTTTTATACACTGTAAAAGTGGACAGTTTTACAGTATTTACACTCCTGATGTAAATACTAGAAGAAAGAGGACCCTTGTAAACAGGAAAGTGAGTCTAACTATGGCCGTTCTGGCATCAATCAATCAATCAATCTTTATTTATAATGCACTTTTCATACAGAAATGCAGCACAAAGTGCTTTACATGGTTAAAAGCAGGAGGGAGGCAAAGAAGCCCCCCAGCCAGGCTGAGAAGACCCACAGAGCCCCAGCAGCCACGGTCGATCACAGCCCCGGTGCAGAGAGCCCCCTCCGAGGAAACACTGGAGATATGACCCAATAAGGATATGTACAGGATAAAAAGATAAAATAAGTAAGAATGGGATACAATATAAATATAAATAGAGTAAGAAGATAAATAATGAATAAGAATAAAATCAATAAATATTAGATAAAACCTAAATTAATAATATAAATAGAATAACAGGATAGAATAAATAAGCATAAAATAAATAAACGTTAGGTGAAAGCTAAATTAAAAAGGTGGG